GCTGCCGGGTCCCCCCCCCACTCCACCTCCCCTCCCCTCTCTCCGCTGGAGTCAAAAGGAAAAGTTTGATTCGGGTTTTTCTTACCGTTTTTCCTTCTTGGATTGGGCTGTTTTCGCCTCTTACACCTGGGGCCATCCGCCATGATCTGCTGCTTCATTGATAAGAGTGGATCAGATGGCAGTTCGCATGGACTCGACTCCCTGATTCAGCAGCACGCAGACTCTATGTAACAACCAAACACAGCAACAATGTGGGCATTGGTATATCCCATTTAAATGCAGGGCGCCAAAGGAACCCGAATATTCACCCAAAAAAGAGCCCAGGCGCACACAGGGCGAGGACTTGCCGCGCTGGGGGAGGCGAGGACACAGCTCAGCCCCCTCCTCCCCAGCCGGGCAGGTTTGGATTTTTGTATTTCTTTCTTTCTTTTTTTTTTTTTTTTTTTTTTGGTGTGTGTTGCACCAGAGATGAGAGAGACAAGAATTACATCTTCAGAAAATGACTCATAACTCATGACCGTATGAGGGAATGCACAGGCTTTTTACAGTAGGCTGCTTGACTCAATGCTAGGCGGAACATTTCCTCCTAAAAGTACTTTAGCTTGACATGGGGACTCGTTTTCACATGAAATGTTGTTATTATTATTTTTTAAGTACACTTCAGCAAACTGATAAGAGCAGCTGGGAAACAGACCTCCCCCCCTCCTCGTGGAGGTAAAGCCCAGGATTGAGACCTCACTCCTATGCTCCTCTTTCACTGCTTAACAATGAGTCGTGTAATTATAAACCTCTGTCACTTTTTTTAGTCAGTTTGACAATATTCATTGCAGGGTTTCCCCCCTGCCCCTTAAGTTAAACAAAGCTTCAGTGTGTCATTTTTTCCCCCCCAGAAGAGAAACAGAAATCAAAACTAGTGTTGTCAGGGTTTTCAGGCTCCCAGTGGCTCCCTGACTTGTAAACTTTTGTACCTATTTCTGTGTACAGACAGGCTCCAAACAAGACAGAATCTGTCAAAAGGAGAGTGGAGGAGCACTTGGTTTGCCTGACACAAGGCTCCTGCAACTAAGTCCATCTTGAAGAAGATGCTGTAGCTTTAAAGATGCTTTGACTCGAGGATTAGTTTAAACAGGGGGCTATAAAAGATGTAACAGATGCAAACTGTAAAACAAGGGCAATTAACCCTTGCTCTTCTGAACAAAATCCAGCCTAACCTCAGCATCTATTGTCTACTCCTATAGCCTCAGCTTTGCACAAAACCTAGAAACTGATGACCTGTCTCAACATTTTTTTCTGAACCCAAGTGGCGTTAGCTTTCATTTTGCATTCTGACTTGAAGAGAGAATGCCAGCAAGAGTGATCAGTTCAGTGGGCTGCCCCTCCGCCTTTTATTTTGCCTCAGCTTTCCTTCCAGAGCCCCTTGGTCTTAAAACAAGGTTGGCTAAACAATTCCCTATACAGGTAAGTGTGTGTGAACGTGCAGATGGAGCACAGGATGAGCCTGTTTACTCTGCTGCAATCTGAATCCATATTGACTAAGTAAAGGGGTAGATCTGTGCAAGGGAGTGGGGTGTGAGAGGCAAGGAGAGACTGAGAAAATGTGCAATAAACTTTATATTGAACAGTTATTTCTAACTGGGAAGTTTGCAACGTCTGCAGCATCAGAGAGACAGGGCAGAAGAAAGTAGGTGAGAGAAACAAATTCAGAAAAGCCAGGACCTGGGAGCTTTTCTCGGCAACTGGCGTAATAATGCAGAAGCACCAATGGTGAATTGTTTGAAATGCATTTCAGTGCCTGCCCTGCTCCTTAGCACTCAGGGAGAAAAGTTGGCAATTTTTGATGTTGGAGAATGGCTTTCTTCCCAAAGGAATATGACTGTTAATATCATTTTTGGTAAACGACTTTTAAGTTCCAGTCCCTACTTTCACTTCTTTCTTTAGGATCCCAGAAGCTAAGGTGTTTCTTCACCCAGTCTCACAAAATAAAATCAAGAAATGAAACTTGCTAGGCAGACAAAACAGCAAACTTTCTGCCTGGGGAAACACACAGCTTTTCTGGGAGTCCTAAAGCAGGCTCCAGCTAAAAAAAATTCCTGTCCAGCCCTGCTCAGTGTGTGCAAGCCATTAACAGGTACATGCAAACTTTAAGCTGACTGTATGTGGATCCTGAACTAGAAGAGCAGGGAGGGATTTTTTGTTGTTTGGAAAGGGAAATAAAATTCCTTTCCTTGCTCAAGAACTTCAGTATCAGATTTGCAAAGGACACACACCTCTTGTACCTGGCTGGGCAGGTGGTGGAGGTGGGCTGTGCTGGATACCAGCAGCCCAGGGTTTGCCATGGAAGAACTAACCCCTCTTGCAATTGATGCCAAGTGACTTTGGCTTTCAGTCCAGAATGAGATTCCCCTACTACAAACAAGCTGCATAAACCCCCCACACAGCCTCGAAATGCACATACCACACAGGAGACAGGGCACCCAGAAGG